CGGCACACCTCATCACTGCTCCGGCCTGGGGCCCGAACTCGCACACCACGCCTGCCGAGTGTGCTCTCACCGGCTGGGTGATGGCCGACAAGAGTGTCTGCGTCTGTGGCCCTTCCCCCCCATACTCCTCGGCGTCCCTTACCTCGTCTTACCCCCAAACATTCGCCCCTGGACCTCTCTGGGGGACGTTTTGGCCATGATTTCGGAGCGGGTTCAGCCGTAGCGACGAGTAAATCCCTTCCCCCCCCAGGATGTCGTCAGGGGCAGCGACAAGGGAGGGACTGGCTCACGGGGGGGGGTGGGGCTATCGGGTCCCTATCGTCGATCAATGAGCAATTGGGGGTCGAAGCGTTTCCCCCGTGAGCCGATCCCCCCGAACGAAGCCCCAAAAAATATCCTGGGGCCCGTGGAGGGCCCCAGAAACCCCAAAGCGGCGAAAAACCTCAGGACCTTCTGGGCGTCACTCGTTCCACTCGTGCGTCGAATCTGCGTCGAACATCCTTCGACTCCAGCCGAACCTGAGTCGAACCCGAGTCGAAGCTGAGTCGAACCTGGGTCGAATTTGAATCGAACTTGAGTCGAACTTACGTCGAACTGGAGTCGAACGGATCCGTTAGGTGTCCAGAGGAAGGTCCCAAAAACGAGCAGTGAACACCCGTGTCCCTCACCCAAACCCCTGATGTCATAATTTTATCACAGCGTGGACCCCCAGAGGTCTCGACCCACTCGTTCCGAAGCGTTCGTGGCGGTCCCAAGGCCCGTAGACCGAGAAGGGGATCGACTGCAGAATTGATTCACCCCAAGATTGGTCGACTCGTCGAATCTACAAGAAAAAACGTAAAGTGTCTCCTAGATCTGCGAAGATTGTAGATGCGACGAGAAGACTCATGTGGGAGTGAATCAATTCTGTAGTCGATCTCTACTCGAGTGGAGCGGCCCCGGGGGCCAAAACTGGCCGAAGACCTTCCGTCATGAGTTGTGTCACTGCTCGAGGGGGCCTGGGCAGGACCCACTTCCCTCGCGGGACCCGCCTGCTACAAATCGACGAGACATCGACGCCAATCGAAGGCTTCGATCAGCGTCGATTTAGCAGACGGGTCGATTGAGCGTCGACGAACGAAGACTTCTCTGGATACAGCGTCGATCAGCAAGTAGCGCCGACTTAGCGTTAAGTCGGGCCTGTCCCCCTTCAGGGGGATTTTGGGCGGAAAAAATTACTTCAAAGTTGGAAAATGCTCCTAAATTATTTAATATATATATATATATATATATATATATATGCTAGGGGGGGGATCCTAAGATCTACCTTTTAGCCATTTCGAAAGGCACTACGAAGCAGCATGGTGTATCACTCGTGCGAGAAGTTGTCGCATGCAGCATGCGATGTTAGCTTGTATGCGTGCCAGTTTCTAGTCTGAGTGAGTTGTCATTTCGGATCAAAGGAACACGTTGCGCCGACGACGACGACTGCTGCCATTGACAATCGCGCGAAGACTACGCGGGCACTTTGATCTTACTTTTTCGGCAGCAGGTGGAGAGCGCAACAGGACATATATTCAGTAGAAACGAGACAATGCGGCAAAGGAGAGACCTAATGCTTCGAGCTCAGCTCAGCAGAAGACTACGCGGGCACTTTGATCTTACTGTTGTCGGCAGCAGGTGGAGAGCGCAACAGGACATATTCAGTAGAAGCGAGGCAGTGCGGCAAAGGAATGACCGAATGCTTCGAGCTCAACTCAGCAAACATCTCTCCAGTTTTCGACCACAGATCATGTCCTGTGTTCCAGAATAACCACTGGGCAGAACGGACGCGATCATCCCAAGAGCGCTGGTTAATCGCAGGAGACCTGCTCCCCGTTACAGCGCGCACATGGCGCCAGATTCGGTCGATAATCTGCGTGCCACCCTTAGTACAGATGATGCTCCCGTCGGGCATGCGGTGGCGGAATAATTGAACGTACTTGGGGCGCGACCACTTGCCATTGACTTTCTTTTTCTTGTGAACCACAAAGTCGTGAATAATCCCGTCAATGATTATCTTCCTGTTGGCCCCCATCTTGTAGTAACGGGCGCCGTCGGCATGCAAGAACACGCAGCGACCGCGCAACCACTTCGCCGCCTGCGGTCCCCAATCTTTCTTAGTGATTGGCCCAGGGCCTGGCGATCGCACTTTCGTGGTCTTCGGAGACGTCCTGAACATCACCAACGAAGATGGCGCGCCTCTCTGAACAATCCCACCCCACTGGTGCCACTTCGCCCGCTTGCAGCGCCCGACGTCAACAAGTTTCTTGCTTAGATCAACCTCGTCTGCTTCCACGTCATGCCACGTCCGATTGTCCCCAGCCCCGAACTTGATCTTCGGCTCCTGCATTCTCACGAAACGAGAACGAGTAGCGTCCAGACGCGATGCGAAGCGTCTCACGTACTTTTCATCATGATCCCACAATAAA